TTTAAAGGCTGATAAAGATTTTTTTGTTAATAATAAATAACCCGTACCTTTATATGTTATCAAGGAAGGTAAATAATCAAAATAATTTTTTAAGTAGTTATTATATATACTTTATATAAATATTCTATAGAGGGTTTTTGGGAAACTCTAGAGTCACTATCCGGTAACAGTTTGAGATATTCGATGTTATACTCAAAACGATTTGCGAAGTAAAAGCGCTATTTCGGTAGGTTACAGTAACTTAAAAAGTTAATCTGGGCACCAAAAAAAAAGAAAAATAAAATTGCAAACATTTTTGCGCTATTATTTTTAGCAACTTCTGAGAAATTGAGAATCGATGAACTCAATTAAATTTTTGTTAATGAAACTCCATAAAGGAGAAATGGTTATCGATGGTATGGTGAATTCCATACAATTCGTAAATCACTCCAACATGAATTTCGTTAAATTTGTCCAAAATCATTTGTTGTTTCAGAAACAACTATGCTTTGCGCTAATTGTAATTGCAAGATTGTCATGTGACCCATAGCGGGATTGAGCGTAAAAGGCATTAGTGTTACTAGCTTACATTCAATAATGCATGAACAATTGGCCAAAAAAAATTATTCTCTTTGGATACCACAAAATTGGTCAAAACAGGGCTGTGTCGATTTATAGAAAGAAGTTAAAAAAAAAATACGATAGTGGGTGCTTCAAAACCCGCAGCTGACATTGTGACAGGTAACAAATCGTATATTTACTGGTATGAACCGAACGCATACAAGGGGACTCTTTGGGTGTTAAAAGATGAGCCAGATTCAACAAAAGTTATTCCTGCCTGTTTATTAAAAAAAATAGAGGTGCCTCAACCGTTCTACTAGAACAATGGAGGACTATAAACTTTGAATTGTACATAGTCTTTGCCTGGAGAACGAATCGCCTAAGAGGGATCACTCTTCACATCGACTGAAACAAGAGAGAAAGAAGAGCTGTCTTCCGTAATGCCTAGGTTCTGTTACGATTTTATGTTCATAGTGTTATCAGATACACTTTTATATGACCAAGCTGCATCGCTACACTCTTGACTGAGTTCCTGGTGTGAAGAACATTGGTGTTATTTTTGCGAATTGAAGTAGATGTTTTGGAGTCATGACCGCATTTCCGGAGCTAAGGTCTTCGACGCCAAGTAAGCACAACTTTCTCCGGCCGAACGCTGGATAATCACATATTACGCACTTCACTGTCTCCATATATTCGCTATATTTTCTGTACTTGTCATCCTCCATTATTTCGATGTTAAAATTTTTATCAACAGCCTGGAATCCGTCTATTAAAATCGTAACGGATTTTCGAGCTCAAAAATTTTCGTAAGTTCCGAAAGTAGATAGTGAATAGATAGTGGCGCGATTCAGTAGGAAATATTTCAAAAACCCAGACGCAAGTGTGCATGCACACGGTAGATTAAGCAGGAGGATGGATGGAAAAATCTACTTATCTTTTGCTCTTTGTAAATAAGTAGTACATCCCGTATTTTTCTGGTACTTACATATATACTGCGAATGGAAGCCAACTCGATCAAAAAAGGTATAAGGAGCGACAAAAATTCTCAAGCGAGTTCTGCTACTACTATAATTAAAAAAAGTAGTTAGATTATCAAAGGCCTAAAAATCGGCGGGAGTTCAACTGCTGATTTCATTACACTTGAAAACTGCTTAATAGGGGGAGATTAAAAAGAGCCCTACAGTTATTTTCATTTGAAAAAAAAAATGTTAAGAAAATTCTTCTAAGACGACTCGAGTTTGTTTCAGTTGGGTATCTCTCAAATTTGAATTTGGACAGATATAGCTAAAACCAATAAAAAATTACATTATTTTATTTGTTTGCTCCTTTAAAGGAAATTAACATTTTATTTAAATTTTGAACGGTAAAAAATATATATGATAAAAAGTTCCGATAAGTGTTCCGATTTGCCGCAGGAAGCGTTTCAAGTAAAACCTGGAGATATTGGTGAGCTTTATATTTATATATGATTTCAGACTAATTTTATAAACATATAAATATGCACACATATATATGTATATACAAAAATATATGAATATATATTTAACATATATACCTATGTAGAGTTGTGTATTTTTAGTTTCTTCTTTCCTACGCTTCAACTTCTAACAGTCTACAGCCTCTTGCACATAAATTTACTTCCTATATTAGAGATGAGCTATTTTAGAAAAGGAGATTGAAAAATACCGGAAATGCTTATCAAGCTGTGAAGAGCTTACAATTTCTCGCTTTGAATAAATTACTTTCTTTTTTTATCGTGTGAAAAAAACGCAAATGAAATGTTGACAATATCGGCGGCTTCTTTCTTGCCTTTTCCCACACGCCACCTAGCGTTTACAACCACTTTAGCTTGTATGCCACTTCCGCTTTGATGTTAGGCCACAAATTATTTTTGTTTCTCTTTTTGTTGTTCATGATGACAGTGGCAACTGCTGTCTGTCTGTCTATGTCTTTATGCCAATCGATGGCGGCATTAATGATTTATTTGTGAGGCCGCTTTTCTTCCATAACCGTTGGAGGTGACAAATGAGTGTAACAACAATAAAAATAGCGAAATCAAAACAATAACAATAATAACAACATTGAGAACCGTAATATAAATTACAAACAATGTGAATTTTTCCTCTGCACTGATTTGATGTGTCTCTCTCGCTTTCGCTCTATGTGCTCTATGGTTGCGCTTTTGAATGATTTCTTCTTCTTGCCAGTATTCGCTTTTTTGCATTCCTTTTTTCCATTTCCTTCCATGTAAATACACAAGTATTTTGATTTGGCAATAAATTGAGAATTGACGTTAAATGAATGCGCACACATACATACGCACCTACATTGACACACACACATGTAATCCTGCCGCTGAGTACCCGCTCGGGCATAAATATTTGTTGATTGTTTTGAGTCACTTTTGCATGTTTCTTTTATCCTCTTTTTGTATTTTGCTTTCGTTTGAAATGTAAATCGATGGCTGATTTGTAATAAATGAGCGCATTAAAGCGTCCAAGTTGCAGGATACTTAAAGTTAATAGGCAATTTGGAAAATACGGTTTTGCATGAACGGTACTTATAGGTGGCGGCGGCGCATGGATTTATAAATAAACAAAGACAGACAGACGTTCGCTTAAGCAGATGTAAAATAAATTTTTTTGGTGTCGGAAATATTGTAACTTGTCTACCGTGAAGGTTATGCCATTTAAAATGATAATATTTTCGGTAAACAAATTTGCTTAATCTTATTAAGTTATGAGTCCAATTTGATATAAAATTATCAGCAATAGGAAAATGTATTGCCTTAACATATATTGAAAATTTCATATTCTTGTTAATGAAATGTTAGAAAAAAGAGCTGTTTGAGTCATACTTAGGTTAGGCTTCGGTGTACTGGCTAACCCGGTGGATCTTACTTCGACGATATGACTTTCTTAGTTTTGCCAGATGCACGACATACGACCAAATTGCATGGCTACGCTTTTTAATTTGTCTTTGGTGTGAAGAAAACTGTTGCTTCTCATATTCATTTTGGGTTTGGCCACTGCCGTTTTAAGGTCGCAAAGTTAGCATAGCTTTGCCTGCTGGACTTCACATATTACCTGCTCCACTATCTCCGAATATTCCCTATATTTTCTGCACTTGTTGTTCTCAATTAGAGCTAAATATATGTAAAAGAATTCAATGCCAAAGGTATTGCTGTGTTAACAGTCTTAACAGCAGTCTGCAACTTCGTGCTGTATGAAACTAAATCCTTTTTGGCTGCTTGGCTATCTACATGAATATGTTTTATTTTCCTTTAAAAACTAAAACTCTGCAGTAGCTTAACCGCCATTTTTATGGCAAACACTTCGACTTTGAAAACAAGCTATTTTTTGGCAGCTTAAATGACTTTCCCTTCTCTTGTTGGGCGCATCAAACTCAGTAAACCTCTCCATCGTCCATTTTACTTTGACTAGATCAAATTTATGGTATTTTAATTTCGGATTAAATATTTTTTCTTATATCTACATTCGTGTGTAGAATACTGAATCTCACTTTTGTATATGCATTTTGAGGAAGGCTCGGGTCCCCGTGCGACCACCTTCCAAAAGTTATAGGATATTAATTTAAATAAAAAATTAAGTTAAATTTAATAAATATCGTCCCCCCTCGGCAGGGATGTCAACCCCTCCGAGTGTATTTCTGACATGAAATCAAAGCTCCAAAGAAAATAAACGCTTCAAAGACAAAAGAGAACCATCTGCCGTTCGGAGGCGGCTTAGTATAAGCTGGAGGTCCCTTCATTTGTTGGAAAAACATCAAGACATAAAACCACAAATCGGAGGAGGAGCTCGGGGACTTGCTTATTCAAAAGTTTGGGCTATTCCTCTCTCCACAACAAAAATTTTGTAATCCCCAAGTGTTGAGTAAATAAAGTCATGATAAAAATATTTTCCATTATTAATATGACATTCGGTGACATTCGCAGCAATGGGAACTATTTTGTAGGCGGGAATATCAAGGCGGATGACTAAATAAGTATTATGTTCAAAATATAAAATCTTCTTATATTTATATAATAATTTTATGCAAAAACATATCTTTATAAATTTTTACTTTTAGTTGATTTTTTTGAAGAAAGTTGAGGATTACTAAAGAAATCATTTAATTTTAATATAAAAATGTAGCACTTAAAAAGTGCACTTTCAATATTTGTAAGTTTTTATGGTTTCCGAACTAAAATAAAAAACTTTTTTTAAATGTGTATGTACGAAAAAAGCTCAATCGATCTGGTTCAAAGTAAGTAGAAGCATAAATATATTTTTTTTCTATTTTTTCTTATTTAAAATCTTTTTTTGTGTTTAACTTTTTTGTTCATTGAAAAATTCGATATATTGTATATGCAAGTAAATATCAGTATATGTATATATGTTTATACTGATACTTCAATGAATATCATATTTATGCTTATTCTCTTCTTCAAATTTACTCACCGCCCACTGTCATATTGGCCGTTTTATCGATCAATTTAAATTCGGGCGCATCACCGGACACCTCACAACGATACGAACCGGATGAATGGACATTCAGTTTCTCCAGCTCGACATTGCAGATGAATTGATTGCAGTGCGATGAGCCATCAGCAATGGTAACACCTTTGACGGGAAACCAATTTGTAGTTGGCGGTGTGAGAGGTGAGTATCTGTAAGAAGAAAGGGAAAAATGAATACGTACTTATGTTTGTATGTAAGTGCAAAAAAGCACAGGAAAGAGCAAAAAATTATACGTGAGAAAAATGGAATATATAAATGTGTAAAAAAAAAAATGAATGACCGACTCAATGAGTGGACAGATATTTGATTTTGATGGTGTTAGTAAAGTGTATTAGAGTTGTACCTGAATATATGCATGTATATGTGTTGAATCAGTGTGTGAGCAGATTGAGTGAATGACTGATCGCCGGCATGATTAACGACCACATACATACAAACAAAGACGATAAGAACAGTTTTACATGCATTCATACATACTAGAGCATAAAATATCGATTCCACTTTCGAGAATGGCGAGAAATTGTAAAAATTACACAGTCAGCACAAATAAAATTGATGCCTCTCCAACATTTACCCACACACACACACACTCTTGTTCTCTCCCCCCATTGCCCCGCCAGTGGCGACAGCGCTGAATTCTATCAACCTCCATTAGTACACTTATTCACTTCACCTGAGCGGCGGTGATGAATGAATGCATAAGAAAATTTACATTTAAAAGAGGAAATTGCATATAAAGTTAAAAAAAAAAAATAGCACCAGCATGCATACATATGTGCATACGAGAGTATATGTGTATGTGTGCATAGAGGAAATACATCAGAAGTTCAAAAGTTGAAATGTTAAAAAGTGCATTTTTATTGAAGGTGACATGGAAAATTTGTTGCCCTTTATGCCAAGGAAGAAGGGTGCATTAAATTAACGTCATGATGAATGAGCTGAAAAAAATCTGGATTCGTTTGCTTGTGCAAATATGCAAATTTTATGCATTTATAAAAGCCGAATGAAATTCACAATTGCACTTAGGATGTACATGGGAAAAGGCTCTAAGCATAAAATTGTTGGTATTTTGAAATAGGAGGCAAATTAAGAGCGCTTAGCCGCCATTTATGCTTGAAAATATTTTTTGGGGCAGCGAAATTTGCATACGAAGTTGGTTTTGTTGTTGCTCAATTTGTGATATATGGAGTAAATGCTCAATTTTTTCATACAAATCTATGCTATGAGGTATTAAATATATGAAAGAAAAATGGAGATTAAAGAAGACTGAAGCTTCTATATTTTTAACATTAAATGAAACCTGAATTTATTAAAAAAGGGTATGAAGTGGTGAATGAAGTCGACGAGGGGTAAGAAAAATATTTAAACGTATTTTTCTGGAGTAGACTTAAAAACGGGTTGCTCAACAAAACAGCTATAATTGAAATATGAGACTAACACGTACTACAAAATTACTTTAGACAGCACAGATAATTGGTAGACGATATTGTTAATTGCATTAAGCAGAAGAGAACTTAGCTTGCTTATAATCATGAAATATCATCCCCATATGCTAGATATAGCAAAATGTGTATGGACGATTGAGACTTCACGCCTTTCACGATGAATCCAGCGCCAACCTCGTGGAGGTGTTCACGCTTGAAAAAATCTGAAAAAAATTATGAATTCGAGCGAAATTTTTGCAAACGCTTTGTTGCAGATTCTTTTCCTTTTTCAATCAGCCAACCAACATGTCTTTGTACTTCAACATAATCTATAACTACTTGTTGAATTCATCATTTATATTTATAAGCCATCGATAAATGCAATAATTTCTATAATTGAAACTTTTTGAATTATTATTAAAAACTGTTTAAAATGATGAAAAGGTTCAAAGAAATTTAGCAAAGAAATTATTTAAAATTTGTTTATAATTTAAGAGAGGAAGGTATAAATTTTGCTGTAAATCGAACTTTATGAATATATTTAAAGCCACTGGGGGATTTCTAATTGAGCGCCTTTTCCAATTTGTTTTAAAAGTTACTTCTTATTACACTTTTGAGTTACATTCGGAAGTGTAAACTCTTTCCACCGAAGCCCGATTTTATTTAGGCCAAGTTTTGGACCTTAGCCGTTTTAGTTATTTTTGAAAGACTCTTCTGGCAAAGATAGTCCACTAGGCATCCAGCAGCGAGTTTGTGCTACCAAAATCCATCTGGAGTGCTGCATACGAGAGGCGGCTGATTAGTTCGCGGCCCAAAGTTTCATTTTTCGATATGATTTTCTCCAAGTCAAATACACTTTTCACAACGTAAATACAATGGTTTTGTCCCACTGAAAACAATATTTTTTCGATTTATCGTCAGCATTTGAGGAATCCCTCATAACCCGAGCGGTTTGAATGGGTACGTTGTCTGTAAGAAATAGCACCCCACCCGCTAACTTGCGACGTCTTTTCTGTATGACTGACTCATTCGAGCGACTCGACAAATTATTCTAAAACTGGCCGTTAATTGTTGTTGCTTTGACAAGTAATCAATTAATAATACTTTCTCTCTATAATCTTCAGAGCCGACTTTTCCACTTTGAATTTGTTTGGTGGACTTTTTCCATTTTTTATCGACTGCATCGACTCGGGATCATACGAACAAATCTAAGTTTTATCATTTATTGCAATGCGGTTCCAATTAAATTGACGCAACTCCAATAAATCCTTACAACTGCACAATTGCGGCCACTGTCACGCCGCTGGACAATGGTTTTGGAGATCGAAGTGACAGAAGTACTTCGCCAGTTGATTCAAATGATTGCTAAGCACAATATTGATTATATAAGTATATTTCGAGAACGCTTTTTCCGTATACGTGTATGTTTGTAACTATTTATATTTAAAAAGGTGCAAATTAACTGAACAATGTGTAATTTTTCATCTCGAGTCCAATCAAGCGTTCCTTGAATGTATAATTCGTCACGTAAATTGAAGCACTTGGAATTACGCCATACGTGAACGTACCCGTTGACGTAATTTGACATGATGCGAGTATCTCGTTAAGAACTGTCATTCGACTACAAAATTATTTTCGTAAGCAAGCAGCTAATAAAAATCTAAGTAAATCTAAGTAATACTAGGTGTATGCAATAATTCGTTCGGTTTTCTAAGGGAGGGCTCTACTAGTAATATTTCGCGTCGTGTTCATCTGTGGCCATAACCATTTCAAAAATACTGTCATTTCGCGTCGTTTTCAGTTCAGTAAATGTCACTTGTTTTTAGCGTAAAGAACATTTTGTTTTATTCATTTGAAACTCTGTAAATTCGTAACAGATAAAGTGTTTTTGGGGGAGTTCTTCTTTACTTAACATGAAGGGAAGTGTTACCGAAAGCTATCGTAGTTTACTGGACGTTTATGGTGACCATGCTTTAGCCGAGCGAACGTGCCAAAAGTGGTTTGCACGGTTTAAAAATGGCTATTTCGACGACTGAGAACGACCTGAACAGTTAAAAAAATTTTAAGACGAAGAATTGAAGACATTTCTCGACGCAGAGGCATGCCAGACGCAAGAAGAACTTGCAAAAATATAAGGAGTTAACCGAGCAACCGTTTCCAGACGATTAAAATCATTTTTTTACAATAGTCTTATTTTTCGGAAAAAAAACCGCAGAATTTAATGCAAACACTCATTCACATAGTGGCTCTCAAATTTTTATGGCTTTTGGCTTAAACAGTATATGCTGACCCAAAGTACCAGATGAAAAAAAATTTCAAGTTCGCTTAATCGTCTCCTTACAAATCATTCATCGACATCACTTCCATCGAAAGATAAACAAAAAAGTAAAGCGCCGATTTTTTTTTTTTTTGACAAAATATTAAGCATTTGCGAAGAACTGATTCAAAATTGTAAGAGAATAATGTATCATAAAAGATAAATATCTTTTACATAATCAAATAATTACGATTCATTTGCTTTCATATGTGAAACTAAGAATGTTAACTTTTTTATCACATACATCAAAATTTTGATCATGGCTGAAGCCGTTTAATTACATTTATTTTGAGTAAAGCTTAAAATTTTTCCTCCTGAGTTTTATCAGAATACATATGATTTTTCATTGAAAAATGTATTTGAAAATAACAACTTTTTTGTTAACAGTTTTCAATACCTTTAAAAAAATCTCTGTCGAAATTTTCTCTTTTCTTAATATTTTCTACTACATAAAATTATTTTGCATAGCTTTTAATTTTTTGGGTTTATTTGTGTTATTATTAAATATTCCATCGTATTACCGCCGCTTTGAAAACAATTATTTCAGTTATTTTTTATTTACTTTGTTTGCTAACTATCTGTTTTTATAGCTTTAGGTGCAGTTTAGGGATTTCACCATTGTGGTCTGCCTGTATTTAGCTTCTTTTTTGCGGACATGACCACTTGCTGTTGACAATTGCAAAAATAGCGAAACGCAAAAAGAACGGATGGAGTATTTTAATTGAAATTGATTTTTGGCTTAGTTTGCTGCAGATAAATTTACATAAAAACCCAATGAGATGCGACAGATTTATATATATGTGCTCGTATGTACACGTATATACATTTAAATATGAGTGTGTGTGTAAATTTTTGCCAGAACCGCGTACGAATTTTTTAGACAGTACTAAAATTTTGTAACAAGTCGAAATTGGATTTGAAGCGCTTAACTGCAAATGAGTAAGTTAATTTTCTACGCGCGCACCGCTAAAGCTGCAACAATGTTCCTACAGGCCATGTCAACGAGCGTGACTTCCACCATTTTTATTTGGTGCTTGAACGTGTCATTTGATAAAGCCAATTAATTGGACCACTCAATGTTGGCTATTGTTTGGCGATTGGGAATTTTACATTGCATACATACAGACGAGTGTGTGTGTGCATGCACATAGTTTTTAAACGGTTGATTTTATTGCGCGTTCTTTGATTGTGGCTGCCTGCTGATGACCTGATTGTGATTAAGAGAAAAAAATGAAAAAAATGTATGTACGAGTATGTGTGCTTTGTTATTGACAATTTGAGATTAGCAATGGCATTGGTTTAGTATTGCACATGTGTGTAGATTATAATTTTTTAAGTTTTGCGAAAAAAGTCAGTGCACACCAGTGAAATGCATATAATTTAAGAGGATTTATTTAAGCTCATTCAA